AGTAGTAGTAGTAGTAGTAGTAGTATAGTGTTCTCTCATTTATCGTGGGGGTCCCATTCCAGGACCACTTCGTGAAAATCCGCGAAGTAGGGACGCCATATTAATTTGAATATTTATACATTATTTTATATATTTCATATATTATTTTCTGACCCGCGCTTCCTTACCCGCCTCCCGGCCCACCCCAAGGCCTCCACTGGATGTAAATATTTAATATTTTTAATTAATATTTTCAAAAACCCGCGAAATAGCGAGTCCACTAAAAGTGAACCCCGAAGTAGTGAGGGAATACTGTATTAGTATTATTTATATGCCCCTTCCCGCAGAGCTTACCAGGCAGTATCCGGAGACCGGGTCACAGGCGCTGGAGTGGCCGTGGCAGCTGCACCCGGAGCAGGTGCCCAAGTACGGAGCGCCGGGGAGACGCTTGAAATGCGGAGCGCAGCGCTCACAGGAGAGGCCGGTGTATCCCACAGGGCACCTGCCAAAAAGGAGAGCCCACTTCTACGTTAGGAAAAACTTACTGGCAGAAGAATATTCTTCTGTGGGAGTTTATTCCTCTGGAGATTTTTTAAAAGTGGAGGCTAGATGGCCATCTGCCAGGAGGGATTCGATTGTGTGTTCCTTCCTGACAGAATGGGGTTGGACTAGATGGCCTTTCAAGTCCATTCAAACTCTATGATTCATCTATCTATCTATCTATCTATCTATCTATCTATCTATCTTAGGTTTGGACTGGATGGTCCTTGGGGTCCCTTCCAACAAGGAGTCATCTATCTATCTATCTATCTATCTATCTATCTATCTATCTATCTATCTATCTATCTATCTAATGATTGATGGTCTGATGGACTGGATGGCCCTTGGGGTCCCTTCCAGCTCAAGGATTCCTATCCATCCATCCATCTATCCATCTGAGGGTTGGACTGAATGGCCCTTGGGGTCCCTTCCAGTTCCAGGATTCTACTATCTATCTATCTATCTATCTATCTATCTATCTATCTATCTATCTATCTATCTATCTATCTTTCTATCCATCCATCCATCCATCCATCCATCCATCCATCCATCTGAGGGTTGGACTGAATGGCCCTTGGGGTCCCTTCCAGCTCAAAGATTCCCATCCATCCATCCATCCATCCATCCATCCATCCATCCATCCATCCATCTATCCATCTGAGGGTTGGACTGATTGGTCCTTGGGGTCCCTTCCAGTTCCAGGATTCTATTATCTATCTATCTATCTATCTATCTATCTATCTATCTATCTATCTATCTATCTATCTATCTATCTATCTACAGTATTTATCAACCCATCCATCCACCCACCCACCCACCCATCCATTTTAGGGTAGGACTGAATGGTGCTTGAGGTCTCTTCCAGCTCCAGGATTCTATGATCCATCCATCCATGTTAGGATTGAATTGGATGATCATTGGGGTTCCTTCCAACTCTAGAATTCTATGATCCATCAATTCATTCATTCATTCATTCATCCATCCGTCCATCATAGGGTTGGATAGCCCTTGGAGGTCTCTTCCAACTCTGGGATTAAAATATCTCCTTATCTATTGATCTATCTATTTATCTTAGAGTTGGATTGGCTTTCAACATTTTCTTCAGAAGGGCTTTTGCATCTGTCTTCCTCTTGGGACGCCTTGCCCAATGCCATCCAGTTGGCGTTCCAGCTCAATGGGAATCCTGGTCTCCAGGAGAAGTCCTAACCTGACTTGCCTGAGGACATTTCCTGGCTTTCCCTCCTGTTCCATGGCAAGGCCGAGGCAAAGTCCCTGCCTCTTGAAGGGATGCCAGGCCCTGCTCACCTGCACTCCTCAACCCCTTGGGCCACTCCCAGGCCAGTGACCTCGGTGGTGGTGGTGTCCATGGTCACGTCGCTGAGCCCCACGCTGGCCATGCGATTGTCGTACACCGTCTGCACCAGGATGGCCTCCAGGTTCTGCAGGACCAGCAGCAGCTCCTCACGGCTCACGGCCGAACCTGACTCCGTCTCCCAGTTCTCCTGCAAAAAGTGGCATTGAACTGCATTAAATCTCCTGTACAGATGAACCCAAAGGAAACAGAATACCTATCTATCTATCCATCCATCCATCCATCCATCCATCCATCCATCCATCCATCTATCTATCTAAGGGTTAAACTGGATGGCATTTAGAGTACCTTCCAATTCTAGGATTCCATCCTTGAACTATCTATCTATCTATCTATCTATCTATCTATCTATCTATCTAT